ATTACAAAGTCATTTCAAAATTACGTGAATTACGGTAATTCCCAAAATAACGGATATCACAATTTTTTGAAATTACGAAAATTACAATAACTTAGGGAGAATTAGAAAATTCCCAATTTTTTTTAGAAATTAGGAAAATTGAAAATTAAAAAATTAAAAATACAAATAATTACTGGAAAAAGCGCGAAAAATTGCGGGAATAACGAAAATTACCAAGTTTTCCAAAAATTGAAAAAAAATAACGGGGAATTAGAAAATAACAAGAATTATCTCAGAAATGACACGAATTAAAAAATTTCGAAAATCCCCAAAAAAAAATACAGAAATTACCAATTTTCGAAAATTTCAAAAACTTAAAGAAAATTATAAAACTAACGAAATTTTTTTGAGAAATTACGGAAATTAAAAAATTACGAAAATATGTAATGGAAATTACGAAAATTTCGAGTTTTTCGAAAATTGTAAAAACTAAGGGGGTATTAGGAAAATAACGAGAATTATCTGAGAAATGACAGGAATTACAAGATTTCGAAAATTACGAGACTTATATAATTTCAAAATTATGAAAATAACGGAGTTTTCTGAGAAATTACAGGAATTAAAAAATTACGGAAATCTGAAAACTACAGGAATTATTCAAAAATTATGAAAAATACGAAAAAATCACGAGAATTAAAAAAATTGTGACAATTTTCAAAAAATTACGAAAATAACAAGAATTACAAAAAGTTACAGGATTCACGAATTTTCCGAAAATTGCAAAAACTAAGGGGGAATTATGAAATTAACGAGAATTTTTTGAAAAATGACGGGAATTTAAGAATTTTCGAAAATTCCAAGAAAAAAAAAATACGGGAATTACCAATTTTTGAGAATCACAACAAACTGGGGGGGAATTATAAAGATAACGGAGTTTTTTTGAGAAATTACGGGAATTACAAAATTACGAAAATTTGAGGAACTACAGGAAATATAAAGATTGGAAAAGATAAGGAAAAATCACGAGAATTGCGAAAAAATTACGATAATTTTTGGTAAGTTACGGGATTTATGAAAAAGTTACGGGAATTACGAAAATTACGAGTTTTCCAAGAATTGCAATGACTAAGGAAGAATTATAGAAATAGGGAGAATTATCTGTATTTATTATCGTAATGAGAAATTACGGAAATAATGAAAATTCACAATAAAAATTTTTTGAAAATTACGAGAATTACGAATTTTTGAAAGTAACAAAAACTTAGGGGGAATTATAAAATAAGTAGGTAACTGAATATTTTGAGAAATTACAGAAATTAAAAAACTACGAAAATCTGAGAAACAACAGGAATTATTCAAAAATTACGGGAATTTTGGAAAGTTACGAAAAATTAAGAAAATTAGGAAAAAGTTATAGAAATTATGAAAATTAGGAGTTTTGCAAAAATTGCAAAAACTAAGGAAAAATTATAAAAATAACGAAATTTATTTGAGAAATAACGGCTTTCAACAATTTTTTTTCGCAATTTAACCTTCACTTTTCCGCAATTTCAAAGTCCAAACTCACTTTCTCGCAATTTCAACAAAATTTTCGGCGAATTTTGCCTCACTTTTCCGTTATTCTTTCCTCATTTTTCAATAAGTATAAGCTCACTTTTCCGCGATTTTCGCCTCACATTGCCGCAATTTCAACCTAATTTTTCCATAATCTTTACTTTTGTTTTTCGTATTTATAACCTCATTTTTTCTCGATTATAACCTTGCTTTTCCGCCATTTTTACTCAACTTTTTCGCAATTAGGGAATCCAAACCACGTGACTTTTGCCAACCAGCCGGCATTTTGAAATTTTTATGAGGTTAGAATACGGGTTTTTACATGTCAACGATGTCAGAAAAGTGTCAAATTTGAGAACTCGTCCCGTGTATTGATAAAGCCTGGTACTCATAAAAGCGAAATTCGCTCTTTTTTCAATGTCAAATTGTCGATGCAATGTCAAAAAAGAGCAAATTATGAGTACTAGGCTTAATCCTGCCAAAAAAAACATATTATGTATTTTGTTTATTGTTTGCCAACCAGACGCCATTTGGACAGGTCGTTGGATTGCCTAATTCCAACATTTCCAACCTCATTTTTCCGTAATTTTTACTTCTATTTTTCGTAATTCCAACGTCACTTTCCAGCAATTTTGACACTCACTTTTTCGCAATTTTTGAAAAGTTACGGAAAATTGCAGGAATTACGAAAAATTACTGGAATTATAAAAATAAAGAGAATTACAAAAATTATAGGAATTATGAAAATCACGAATTTTTGAAATTATGAAAATTACAAAACTTGGGGAGATTTTAAAAATAACGAAGTTTTTTAAAAATTTAGGAGAATTAAAAATAAGTACAAAAAATTACGGGAATTACGAAAAAATTATGATTTTTGAAGTTATGGGAAAATTACGAAAAAGTTATGGGGGAATTACGAAAATTATGAGTTTTTCGAAAATGCAATAACTAAGGAAAAATTGACTTTTTTAAGCAAAATTCATTTTTTTACATTTTATTTTTTTTCTAGAAAACTGGCAAAAGGATAATTGTGGAAATTTTTCAGAAAAAAGAGGAAAGTGAGGATCTCATTAAAACAAAATTTCAAAATTTTCCAGTAAAAAATCACTTCAGGAAAAATTCTGGAAAATTGACTTATTTAAGCAAAATTAAGGAAAATTCATCCTCTCACATTTCAATTTATTTCTGGAAAACTAATAAAGCAAAAGTTGTGAAATTTTTCCAAGAGAAAAAAGAAAATATGGAGCTCATTATAGGAAAATTTCGAAATTTTCCAGTGAGAAATCACTTGGAAAATCGACTTTTTCAAGTAAAATTAAGGAAAATTCATCCTCTCACATTTTTTTTTTTTTGGAAAACTAGCAGAAGAAAAATTTTGAAATTTTTACAGGAGAAAGAGGAAAGTGAGAAGTTCATTATATGTATGTATAAAAATTTCAAAATTTTCCAGTAAAAAATCACTCCAGAAGAAATTCTGGAAAACTAACTTTTAACAAAAAATCATTTTTTTAATTTTAAATTTTTTCTGGAAAACTGGCAGAAGGAAAATTTCAAAAATTTACAGTGAAAAATCACTCTAGGAGAAATTTTATTTATATATTTTCGGATAACTGAATAAATTCTCTTCTAAGTTAAAAAATGTATTACAAAACAATAATTCCGAAGGTGCTCCATGAATTAATCTAAGACATAACTTTTTCTCTAAGTTATGACGTCATCGATGACGTAAGTAAAAACTTGCGTGCCGTGAAACAAACTATATGTTTGTTTGAAATTTCAGACATAAAAAAATCAATTTTTTTTAAAAAAAGGCAAATGATGACGTAAGTACAAACCCACAAAAAATGGTGCTGCAACACCCCTCAAATTTGGAGCCTAGTTGCGCTTATGCTACTCGCTTTGGCCAATTTTGCGCACGTTTCTGGGGAAAGTTATTAAGGCATTACAAATTTGCACTTTCCCCCCCGTTTGTCGAAAAATTAAAAGATCCTATGCTTGTCTCCCCACTCTCCCCCCCCTCGTTTTTCAAAAAGTTGAAAAATCCTTATGCTACTAGGTTCACCTAATTTTGCACAACTTTGCACACCTATTTTCAAATTTTGCAAAACGTGCACTTTTCCGCCGGTTTTTTGAGAAAATTAAAAAATTTTTTGTTACTCAATTCGGGTTGAAAATAAACGTACAAAATTGAGTGAACCCAGTAGCAAGAGTTTTCAATTTTTTGACAAACAGGGGAAAACGTGCAAATTAATACAACATTCAACTCTCAGAGGAATGTGTAAAATTAAAAATAAGGTGTGCAAAATTAGCCGAAGCGAGTAGCATATAGTTATTTTCCTAACAAGTGCGCAAAGTGTTACTTTTCCGCACGCAAACACAGTTATACGAACGACGCGAAGCGGAGTTCGGATACGTGTTTGCGTGCGGAAAAGACACTTTGCGCACGTGTTAGGAACAAAATTTTTCCTACGAGCTTCATATCAGGTAGGTAATAACAAAAATTTGAAAAAAAAAACCGATAATTTGTTTAATTATTTTTAATTAACTTGAAGGGAACCTATGCATTTATCAAAAAATTACATAACAAAAAAAAATAACAGAAAATCCTCGTCAGAGCTGTTCATCTTAAAGCGTTTAAATTTGATGAGAAAGTTTGTAGATTTTTGCATATAAATAGAGAACAAATCTGATGTGTCAAAGTTAATTTATAATTGGTGTTTGTATAGATGTTGGCTGATATAGAAATAGAGGAAAAATTTGTCATCATGTGTCAAAGTCGACAGGTGCACTTATTGTTGCTTGACAATTATAATTACTTTTCGGCACTCAGTGCGGATAAGGCCTGTATCCGCACTGAGTGCGGAAAAGTGCAACTTTGAGCCCGGAAATGCGTGCGGAAAAGTACTACTTTGCGCACGCTCGTAGGAAAAGAATTTTTCAAGTTTCAGATAAACGGGGAAAAAAGTGCATATTTATCACACCTCATAACTTTTTCCAGAAGAGTGTGCAAATTTTGAAAATCGGTGTGCAAAATTATGGGTTATTTATTTTTGAAATTTGTCTATTTGTCGAAAAAAGCAAATTTTCAAAGACGGGGGTAGTCCTGACAACCTGTTCACCTCTCGACCTGTCATATTTTGACAGCTGTCAAAAATTACATTTGACAGCTGTTGAGTATTCCAAATTGTATTATCATCCGAACTTAAACTGTATGCAAAATTTCAGCAAAATCTATTGCAAAGAAATGGTTCACAAATCTGCATCTGTTACATTTGACAGTTAACACCTGTCATCAGTGGTCTAAAATGTATTATCATCCGAACTTAAAGTGTATGCAAAATTTCAGCAAAATCCGTTGCGAAATAATGGTTCAAAAATCTGCACCTGTCACATTTGACAGTTGACACCTGTCATTAGTGATCTAAAATGTAGTATTATCTAATCACCTGAACTTGAAGTGTATGCTAAATTTCAGCAAAATCCGTTGTGAAGATAAGGTTCAATCTGCAACTGTCTTAATTTGACAGTTGACACCTGTCATTAGCGGTCTAAAACCTTCTTATTATTATTGCCTTTCATATTAAACATTAAACTGGTTTGAGGCACATCGATCGGATAGTTTCAAAGTCTATATATAACGGACATAGGTAGACACACAGACAGACAGACAGACAGAAACAATTTTTGTGTTTTATTCCTCTATTTATTAGTAACAGAAAATTACTACCTACAAAAATACATAACTATTTACCTATTTATTTTTTTTTTAAATTATAAAATATTCCTATTCTATGGTAGGTATATGTATAATAAGTACCTATATAAAACACAGGCATTTAATTTGTTAAACAAAAGACAACTTGGCAACGCAGCCTAGCAAATACGCGTGCATTTAGTGCCTCAAATTAATTTAATCGCAGAAACGACTGATTTTACTAGGACACTAGCGCCATCACGCAGGTTTATATTTTCGCCGCCGGACGGTTCTTCTAGAGACGTTAGTCTATAATATTCTTTGGTTCTTATTACTACACTAAAAACATTGAACGTGTAGTTATTAAAATTAATAAAAAGTTAATAAAATCTATCAGTATTGAAATGTAAGAGAAATCTTTTTAAGGTTAACAAGAAAGCACAGGTGCTGTTGGCGTTGGTCTACGTTGGAAATCCGGTCTGTACGCGGCTTTGGGGCAGGTCTTACAAAACTATTTTGACAAAATCCTGTTCAGTAAAGGTTCGTCAAAGAAAATTCAATATTTATTTATCCGAATAAATAAATTAAATGCTAAAACATAATTGTATCATAACAGTTGTTATCGCAAATCGCTATTCAAGAAAAATAATGTGTTTAAGTAAACAAAAAATGCAAAAACCTATGAAAACACATACATAATCGCAGTCATTTTCGTTAAAACAAACACACATCACATATGTTTGATCCATGCCGCCATTTTAAATCGATTTTTTGAAAGGTTGTTGCACTGCCGTATAGATGGCGCCACAAAAAAGATTTTCAATTTCTACGATTTTCGTAAGAAAACTGCAGCCGTCCCACAGTCAAAAACTGAAAGTGAGGTTATGTTAGTTTATTGACATTGTGCTTTTCATCAGGTTATAATTTAGAATTTTATTGTTTTTTTGGGTAAATTCTGATGGAAAACGGCCACGGTAGCACTAATTGCGCCTCAGCAGTACCTGAAATAAAACGGGAAGTACCTAATATCCTGGTGACGGGTACTCCGGGCGTTGGCAAGTCCACTTTGTGCGCTAAACTGGCCGAAATCACTGAAATGCGATGGCTGGAAATTTCCAAAATCGCCATAGAAAACGGTTGTTTGGAGGAGTACGATGAGGTAAATTCATTTTCTACTTATTTAGTATGTTGTACGTTAATAATTACTTTATACAACTTTACCATAAACATTCTCTCCTATTTTCCCAGGTATACAAATGTCCAGTTCTGGATGAAGACAAACTAATGGACGGCCTGGAAGAAATAATGCGCCATGGAGGCAACATCGTTGACTATCACAGTTGCGAATTTTTCCCAGGTAAAACCCAATCTATCAAACATCTAAATACTAAAACCTGTTAATTTCAGAACGCTGGTTTGATGCGGTTTACGTTCTCAGAGCCGACACCGCAACACTTTACGACAGACTGAAAGCTAGAGGCTACGAAGGCAAAAAGCTGGAGGATAATATTGACTGTGAAATATTTCAAGTGATTCTGGAGGAGGCTAAAAGCTCCTACAAGGAGGGGATTGTGTTTGAAATAACTAGCCTCACTGAAGCACAGCTACATGAAAATATTGAAAAAATTTGCTTGTGGGTTCAAAAATGGTTTCAAGACCACCCAACATAAAAAAAAACTTTGTTTATTTATTAAAAATATATTACAACTTACCGTAACCTATTCATTATATCCATTCCAGCCTGATGCCTTACACAACTGGTAACATAATCCAAAGGAATTTGCTTCTTTTTCTTGCACTCTTTTTTGATTTCTTGCACAGTGTGGTCGTCCCTTAATACATAAGGACATTGCTCCTTACAAGTCTTCAACATTTTCTCAATCATTACCTAAGAGTGTGTCAGATAAATAAACACCAAAAAATCTACAGTTTATTTACCTGTATACTATCACAAACGCTATTATAAATATCACCAGAAACTTGCTGTAGCTTCTCTTCAACCGGATGCTTATCATTCCGATGTTGAGCCACCTCTTGCAGCCTTATCAGCAACTGTTTGCAATTTTCCGCATCTTGTATAACATCATTGGCGTGATTGATGTCATTGTGAGGCGCTATCGAGTCGGTACCCAATGATTTGATGGCGTCTTGCGTTTGAGTCACCAGCCTTTCAAGCGCTTGCTGTTTCGAGGTGAGCAAAAATCCTGGTTGCATCGAAGTGTGTTTGGTGGCTTGTTGCTTGAAAGCCACGTTTCTATTGAGCAAATCTTGAATTTTGCGCATTACTGTATCAGTGCGTTCTGTTGAGGCTTTCATGCAAGGAGCAACATCGAAAATAGGGAATGGTATATATGTTAATGTCCTGAAATTAGGTTTTTCGTTTTGAAAAATCGTAACTACAATGTTAAATCTTTACCTATTGCTCTCCAACGCATAAGCCAAATCATGGTAACCTTGCAAACTAATATTATTCCTATCCAAAATGATTGTTTTTAATTTGCTGTTTATCTGTAAGGCTTTCGCCAATAATCTAGCACCAGAGTCTCCTATAAGGTTTCCACTAATATCTTCAAAAAAAAAAACTATTGAAATCATGTTTTAAAATAAAAAATCCTCACCTAATAATTCCAAAGACTTATTATCACCTAGAGCGTTCAAAAGATTAAACAAATCGCCCCTTAATCGACAATCTGGAATGATGAGACTTTGCAAAATACATTCGTCGTCTTGTATTATTTGAACGACAGAGTCCATTATCAGGGACATGTGTTTTTTCATGCTCCTACCCATGTTGAGATGCTTCAAGGACTTATTTTTACTTATAGCTAAGACTACGTTGCACAAATCCGAATCCATACCTGAAAATTAACTTTGAGGAAAACTGGATAAAAAGTTTGTGCGTGAAGTTAGCTTCAATTTGTAGCTAGGAATTAGGGACGTTTTCACTTTTACTGCTTTGTGTCTGTTCCAGAAGATTATTGATAACGGTTTTGGACATGTTGGAACAGACTTATATTAAAAAAAATAATAACTTCGTTAAAAACTACGAACGTATTCAGAATTGGCTGACAAAAATAAATATATATTCTATTCAAATCACCAGACAAAATTATGTTAGCGTTAAGTGGAATTTCAGTCAAGAGGGATTCCAGTTAATCCATGAATGATTCCGAGGGGTCAACCACTGTGCTTAGAAATGTAAAATGATTTCCATATTTGGTAATCACTGATCAATGAATCTCATTTATTCCCATCCCAAGAATTGCAACTGATTGCCAATTATTGTCAGATATTTTTGTATGATTACCAGGTGATTTCTGTTTTTTCAGAAGATTCCTATATCATTCCCAATGGGCCACTTTCACATTTTTCAAAAGCATATTTAAATTATTCTTTATTTAGTCATTCTAATACTATCTGTATACTTTTTTTCCAAAAAAAAACCCTTATGTTTGAAAAAAAAAAAAATATTTAAAAATTAAATTTTTAAACTGGCGCGAAAACGCAAACTTGGTTTGTGACGTCACAAACCAGAAAATCAACAAAAATGCAAGGATCCCAAATTTCCCATTAGTAAAACATTACACATTTCACTAGCTAGAAACTATTTCCGTCCTTTATTACATTATAAAGACATAAAGGATACGGATAGGTATAATCCTTATTAGACATTAGGGACATAAAGCTACTTGAAATAATTCGCCGGTATCGGTATCCGTAACGCAACTAGATACGTTGACAAGCGAAAAGGCTGTTAAAGCACTCCCTGTTCCGGTAAACGTAAACGCATCTCATAACCTAGTAATTTTCGTGTCAAAACTCCGGCGTTTTTATATAAAATTGTTATTTTTTTTGCGATAGAGAAGCACTAAACACACAAGAAACTCAAGAAAGTATAAACAAAATAAATTAAATCAACCCGGAAGAAAAGTGAGGTTATATTCATTTAAAATTTGACACATGCGTCAAGAAACGTTACCGATACGGATACCGCGAGAGGGCCGTAACGTTACGTTGTACGTACGGTATCTCGGCGTCCGTATCGCTTCTGCACATGCGCAGTACGATACGGATACCGACCAAAAAATACGGAAGCTTTATGTCCCTACTTTAAGCAGGTCCTGAATTTCAAACGTATCCGTATCCGCATCGATCTGCGCATGCGCAGAATAGATGCGGTGGTTTCGTTGCATTGCGTTATCCGTATCGTTACGGGCCTAGCCTCGTATCCGTATCCGGAAACGTATCTCAGTCATTTGACACTATTGAGATCTCCTTGTTAAGCCCATTTTACAATGGACATAACGTAACCGTAAAGACGTAACAAAAGTCCTAAGCATGCGCACATTAGATTTATTTGCGTCAAATATATCACCGGAAACGCAACGTAAGTGCGCGTTCACATTGACACCGCTCGAGCGGTGAGCGTTGCGCGATGCCGCTGTAGCGATGCCCAAAAATAATTTTAACAATATATTTCAAATGAACATGTTAACACCGTGGGACGCGCCGCTCCATTGTGTACATTTTCGTTTGAAATATAATGTTAAAATTATTTTTGGGCATTACTACAGTGGCATCGCGCAACGCTCACCGCTCGAGCGGTGTCAATGTGAACGCGCACTAAGAGATGCCGCCGTGCCGTTTTGTAAAGTAAATCGAGTCAGAGGTAAATTGATCAGCTTGGAGTTACGGGTGTAGCAATATTTTTGTAACAACACTAGATTTGTTGTAGCAACAAGTCGTTTGGGGAAAGATTCAAATTAATTATTTTTGTAGCAACACTTCATTTGTGTACCGGCACAAGATCATAATATGTAGCAACACCAAGGACCAAGGGGAAAAATGCAGCAACACTCGTTTTGTATAGCAAAAAGTCATTTGTGGGATAGTTTTTGCTTAAGGCAAAAGTTTATTGAATTTCTTATGTAGCAACACGAAAAAAAAAGTGTAGCAACACAATCGTTGAGATTAATTTTTAGTAGGGTTAGAGCAAAATTTCAATGAACTTATGTAGCAACATTGAAAAAAATGTAGCAACACGAGCGAAAGTGTAGCAACAAGTCGTTTTGGGGGTAGTTTTTTTAGTGGGTTTTTAGGGTGACTTTAATGTAGCAACACTTGTTATATGAAAATGTATTGAATTCGTTTGCAGCAACATTTGGTAAAAAAATTTAGTTTCTCGTCAGGTTTGAAATTCGAATTTTACATTTTCCCGGCTTTTGATTGGTTTGGAAATTTGAATTTTGATTATTCCCGGCTTTTGATTGGCTTATTTTTGAATTTTCCCGGCTTTTGATTGGTTTAGGAATTCAATTTTTAATCATTCCCGGGTCTTGATTGGCTTAGAAATTCAAATTTCAAATATTCCCGGCTCTTGATTCGCTTCCAAAGTCAATTTTCCCGGCTCTTGATTAGGTTTAAAATTCAAATTATAAACATTCCCGGCTCACGGTTGGTTTAGAAACTGAATTTTTGATTATTACCGGCTCTTGATTGGCTTCAAATTTTGAATATTCCCGGCTCTTGATTGGTTTAGAAATTCAAATTTCAAATATTCCCGGCTCTTGATTCGTTTCCAAACTCAATTTTCGAATTTTCCCGGATCTTGATTGGGTTTAAAATAAAATTTTAAACATTCCCGGCTCATGATTGGTTTAGAAACTGAATTTTTGATTATTACCGGCTCTTGATTGGCTTCAAGTTTTGAATATTCCCGGCTCTTGATTGGTTTAGAAATTCAAATTTCAAATATTCCCGGCTCTTGATTCGTTTCCAAACTCAATTTTCGAATTTTCCCGGATCTTGATTGGGTTTAAAATAAAATTTTAAACATTCCCGGCTCACGGTTGGTTTAGAAACTGAATTTTTGATTATTACCGGCTCTTGATTGGCTTCAAGTTTTGAATATTCCCGGCTCTTGATTGGTTTAGAAATTCAAATTTCAAATATTCCCGGCTCTTGATTCGCTTCCAAAGTCAATTTTCCCGGCTCTTGATTAGGTTTAAAATTCAAATTTCAAACATTCCCGGCTCACGGTTGGTTTAGAAACTGAATTTTTGATTATTACCGGCTCTTGATTGGCTTCAAGTTTTGAATATTCCCGGCTCTTGATTGGTTTAGAAATTCAAATTTCAAATATTCCCGGCTCTTGATTCGTTTCCAAACTCAATTTTCGAATTTTCCCGGATCTTGATTGGGTTTAAAATAAAATTTTAAACATTCCCGGCTCATGATTGGTTTAGAAACTGAATTTTTGATTATTACCGGCTCTTGATTGGCTTCAAGTTTTGAATATTCCCGGCTCTTGATTGGTTTAGAAATTCAAATTTCAAATATTCCCGGCTCTCGATTCGCTTCCAAAGTCAATTTTTGAATTTTCCCCGCTCTTGATTAGGTTTAAAATTCAAATTTTGATTATTCCTGGCTCTTGATTGGCTCTGAAATTCAAATTTTTAATATTCTCGGCTATTGATTAACTTCCAAAATCAATTTTTGAATTTTCCCGACTCTTGATTGGCTTAGAAATTCAAATTTTGAATATTCCTGGCTCTTGATTGGTTCCGAAATTCAAATTTTGAATATTTCCGGCTCATGATTGGTTTAAAAATTGAATTTTTGATTATTCCGGCTTTTGATTGGCTTCAAATTTTGAATATTTCCGACTCTTGATTGGATTAGAAATTCAAATTGTGAATATTCCCGGCTCTTGATTGGCTGAGAAATTCAAATTTTAAACCCGATCAGGAGCCGAGAATAATTAAAATTTGAATTTTGAACCCAATCAAGAGCCGGGAAAATTCAAAAATTGACTTTGGAAGCCAATCAAGAACTGGGAATATTTAAAATTTGAATTTCTAAGCCAATCAAGAACCGAGAATATTCAAAATATGAAGCCAATCAAGAGCCGAGAAAATTCAAAAAATGACTTTGGAAGCCAATCAAGAGCCGGGAATATTCAAAATTTGAATTTCTAAGCCAATCAAGAGCCAGGAATAATCAAAGTTTGAATTTTAAACTCAATCAGGAACTAAGAAAATTCAAAAATTGACTTTGGAATCCAATCATGAGCCAGGAATATTCAAAATTTGAATTTTTAAGCCAATCAAGAGCCAGAAATATCCAAAATTTGAAGCCAATCGAAAGCGGGGAGTAATCAAAAATTCAATTTCTAAACCAATCATGAGTCGGGAATATTTAAAATTTGCATTTCAGAGTCAATCAAGAGCCAGAAATATTCAGAATTTGAATTTTAAACCCAATCAGGAGCCGGGAAAATTCAAAAATTGAATTTTAGAGTCAATCACAAGAGCCGGGAATAATCAAAATTTGAATTTTTAAGCCAACCAAAAGCCGGGAATAATCAAAAATTCAATTTCTAAACCTATCATGAGCAAGGAATATTGAAAATTTGAATTTCAGAACAAAGAATAATCAAAATTTGAATTTTAAGCCCAATCAAAAGTGGAGAAAATTCAAAAATTGTGTTTGAAAGCCAATCAAGAGCTGAGGATATTTAAAATTTGAATTTCTAAGCCAATCAAGGGCCGGGAATATTCAAAATTTGAAGCCAATCAAGAGCCAGGAATAATATAAAAATCAATTTCTAAACCAATCATGAGTTGGGAATATTCAAAATTTGAATTCCAGAGCTAATCAAGGGCCAGGAGTAATCAAAATTTGAATTTTAAATCCAATCAAGAGCCGGGAAAATTAAAAAACTGACTTTGGAAATCAATCAAGAGCCGGGAATAATCAAAAATTCAATTTCTAAACCAAACATGAGCCAGGAATATTCAAAATTTGAATTTCAGATTCAATCAAAATTATTAAAATTTGAATTTAAAACCCAATCAAGAGCCGGAACAATTCAAAAAAAAGATTTTGGAAGCCAATCAAGAGCCAAAAATATTTAAAATTTGAATTTTTAAGCCAATCAAGAGTCGGGAATATTCAAAATTTGGAGCTAATCATGAGCCGGTAATAATCAAAAATTCAGTTTCTAAACCAATCATGAGCCGGGAATGTTTAAAATTTTATTTTAAACCCAATCAAGATCCGGGAAAATTCGAAAATTGAGAACAGGTGGAAAACAGACAAGAAGCACCTATAGCCCCCAATCAAGAGCAGGATTGGCATACACAAAAACCTATTTCAAAAACTTAGTGGGTTTTTCCTGCCATAGTGACAAATATCAATCGAAAAACTAGGATTAAGTATTCACATTTCTCTTATCTCGGTATATTTAACAAAATAAAAATCCTAAGGAACTTTTCTCAACATAACTACTATGTAGTAGTAACGTAACTAAGAATTTGTACTAATAAACATATAAATAATAATTAAGATCGTAATGATTAGGTCTATAGAAAATTCAATTGGCTTTAATTAGAACTTAATTAGATTGAAATTGGATAGAAATTAACAGAGCTGTGTGAGGCAAAAACTGCCTCAGTGTCATTTCTAGAGAATTTACAATATTCGATAATTTCAATTTTGAAGCTTCTTACGTGCAAAACTGTTGAAACCAAATTAAAATCTTATCTAATAGGTTTATAGAGAATTAAATTGGCTTTAATAAGAGCATAATTGCGTTGAAATCGAATGAAAATTACCGGAGTTGTGAGGCAAAAACTGCCTCAGTGTCATTTTTGAAAAATCTTCAATGTTCGATAATTTCAGTATTGAACCTTCTCAGATGCAAAACTGGTGCAACCAAATTAAAATCTTATCTAATACGTTTATAGAGAATTTAATTGGCTCTAATAAGAGCATAATTGCGTTGAAATCGGATAAAAATTAATGGAACTGTGAGGCAAAAACTGTCTCAGTATAATTTTTAGAAAATTTTCAATAATCGATAATTTCAATTTTGAAGCTTCTTAAGGGCAAAACTGTTGAAACCAAATAAAAATCCCAATTGATAGATCTGGAGAGAATTTGATTGACTTCAATTGAAGCCTAATTGCGTTGATTTCGGATGAAAATTGAAGGAGCTGTAAGGCAATAGCTGTCTCAGTGTCATTTTTAGAAAATTTTCAATGTTTGATAGTTTCAATTTTAAAGCTTCTCAGCTGCAAAACTGTTGAATCCAAGTTAAAATCTCAATTAATAGGTTTATAGAGAATTTAGTTGGCTTTAATTAGAGCCTAATTCCGTTGAAATCGGATGAAAATTGAAGGAGCTGCGAGACAGAAACTGACTCAGCGTCATTTTTGAAAAATTCATATTTGAAACAAATATACAATTTTGTCTAGTTAAGTTAACACAAAAACCTTACAAAAACCCTCCACGAACTATCAAAAACCGAAAAAACCCAATAGAAATTTTCAAAAACTCGGGTTTTTGCCAACCCTGATCAAGAGGCTGAAATATCAAAGAATATTCTAGTTTAGTTATTACTTAGTATCTCTATCTCAAATACTTTCAGCAAAAAGAGCTGAACAGCTCCTAAGTATGAGCAGACCAGACATCAGATTGGTGGTGGAACTGCTCACAGGACACTGCCCAGTAAAATACCATTTAAGGTTAATGGGCAGAGCGGAAGACGATCTCTGCAGATTTTGCTCAGACGCAATAGAAACCGCAGAGCACCTGCTCTGCGAATATCCAGCCCAATTCTGCAAGAGGCTCAAATTCCTCGAGGGGGCAACACTGTCACCAGAAGAAGTGGGCCAACTGACACCCAGGAAAATAGCTTCCTTCGGCAGAAGTCTACGCTTCCTGGAGACAAATTAAGATGTAGAGTCACGCACAAAATATCTGCAAAAGTAGCAGTGCTGAGCGGCTGAAAAGCCGAAACGACTCCCCCGAAATCTACAATCTAGTATCTCTATCTCAAATACTTATCTAAGAGCTGTAGCACTTTGGTTACTTCAGTAACTTCCATTCTGCAGTAACTACAAAACAACTCGAAACTTTTATGGAGTATCTTCCTCAAGAGAAAGGATTATAATCCTACTTTTGTCAAGTTTGTTGATATCTTTAAATACCTACTAATTGCAAAGCCAATTGAACTTTACAAAGTCTCTACATGGAAGATGGCAATGGTGCCTGCTCCAAGTTCTAGTAAATGATAATTTTTGGCTAGAAATCGAGGCTAACTTCACCAACACATAAAACACTTACTATTATCCGAAATGTCAAGACTAGAAATACACCTTACGCCGTGAACGCAAGATTCCAGCACGTGAGCACCATGACTACCCAATCCGTTATTGCTTATATCTAAACTCATTTCTTTGGTAAATTCGTTACATGCTAGGCCCAATAATAAATTCCTTTAAAAAAAAACAAACAATTAAAAATAAAATTAAGAAAAATACACTCTATACTCACTTTAAAGCCTCCTGAGGCAACTTACAATGCGAAATATTCAAATACTTAAGATTAAGGGTGCTGCTAAAGAATTGCTTGAAAGAAATCGGGGCCTCTTTGTTCTTTTTACTGCTGAACGGGTTCCGCGACACGTTCAAGTGCACCAAGTTGGTGGTGCAACCTTTCACTAGAGCCCCGAAAAGGTTTTCGAGTATAATGTCTGTCGACGAAATATCAATGTATTGTAGAGTGTTTGATTGAGACAGGAAATTTTGCAAATTCTATATGAATAAGAAGACATATTATTATAGCAATAATTACTCATAATAAACAGTGTACGTACACTAATATCATCCTTAAGGCTATTTCCACTCAAATTGAGGTAGGTCAAAGTATTAGCATTAGTCACATTCGAATACAAAGCATTCGCCAAATTATTAATACCCTTTGAACTCAATCCACAATGAGACAAATTTATATGAGCCACTCCTTTACTTAACCTGTTGACGCATTGACTCAAATACGAAGCACCTTTATCCTCTATAGGATTATGGCTCAGATCTATTGTGTGCAATGCGGAAACCGGGTTCAATTTCAAAGTATTAGAGAGTTTATTGACGAAATCTGCTTTGAGGGCCAAGTTGTCCAAATAAAGCTCTTCTAGGTTCAAAGATTTACGTAAAACGTGTAATATTTTATCCAAATTATCGTGTGATAATCTAATTTGATTGGCCCTCAATTTCGTAAACCAGGTATTGTGCTCCAAGGCGTTTATTATTGGAATAAGATCTCTAAAAAAAAAAAACAATTTATTATTCAAATGTGTATTTTTTGTATGTAGGTATTACTTTTGATCTAAATACTCAAAATCCTTTAAGTTCAATTCCCTTGTGTTTAGAGAAAAATAAATATTGTCCACGTCCCAAGCTACCTCTTCCCGATAAGTCATACTGTGAAAGTCGCAGTAGCAAGCGTACTGGGTGGAAAAGCCACCACACGGGCCTATTTCCCTTCGGCTGCTGGCTATCGCTTCCAAGTCTCTCAATTGTTGAAGCCTTGTGCTCGGAATTACTTCGATCTACAATGTTTACTTGTTATTTTGAATTGAAGGGTAAAGGCAAGTCTGCACATTTATTTATATGGCGCATTTGGTAGGACAAATATTTATGTGTGAGTGCACTCTAGATGGTACACTAAAGAAATAAACCTTAATAACCAACTAAAGTCCTGGAGGATTTAATTCTCCATACAATTTAATGCAACAAAATGTAGGCTTTATCAACAATATTACTATAAAAACATTTTAAAAATGATGCAGACTGCTGCTGAACCCTAGAAATATTCCCAAAACACAAACCTTTTTAATAATATGCTGTAGAGGTACAGTAGGAAAAATATTCCTAATGGCATTATTCAAAGCTCCAATCATATTGTCCACTTCAGTGCTGCAACTTGAATCTTCGCCAGTCAAAAACGAGTAGACTTTATCGTTTATCGTGAGGCTCAGATGGTTGCCTCTTTTACTCTCCAACGCTTGTATTTCCAAATAATGGAAATGACAGTCAACCTAGGGAATTAATAAAGATTATGTTTTGATTATTGATGTTTTTTTTTTTTTTAGTTGTTTTACCTTTGTTGGCACCTTTGCTGTGAGCAGTAGAATTCTGCATGGCGAAAACACCTAAATGGGACAAAATAACTTATCAAAAAGGTTCTAATAAACTGTTAATTATGGGAAATATTTTTGAAAAAAAAAACACATTTAAAAACTAGTTTATTATTTATTTACAAAAATCAATATAATCATAATCCTAATCTTCCTCATATAGTTTGCAGATATCTTCATACTGCACCCGATCCACCTTACGTCCCATCAGCACTCCTTTAGAAATTTCCAAATTAACGCAAAAGTTTTTCTCATCTAAACTCAATAGAGTGGCAATTTCTCCAGAATAAGCCCCATTAACAATTTTAACCGGCTTGCCGATAGCAGGAATCACAGTTTCCAAATGGGCCTGGTCCAGTTTTAGCTTTTTGCCTGTGTCCAGCAGCTTGACTATTGCTCCGTATTTGTTTATAACTTCTCTGATGACTCCTTTTTGTTTGTAAAATTCCTCGCCCAAAGATTTGGTCATTACTTTGACTACTACGCCTGGCATTAGCCAGTAGTCTTTCCGATTTTTCTGTTCTTTTCTGCGTTCTTCTTCTTCGCGAATTTCATCCAAGGTAGTCTTTTTTTTGTTGGGTTCGATTACTATTTTTGGTTTTTTACAGTCACTGTCTGCTATACTGGCGGGCCTTTTGAAAACTTTTTCAATAGGCAAAGGGATTGGCTTTTTGTCAGTTTTAAACGTGAGGTCTAGTTTTAATATTTCATCTTCATGCTCTCTAACAAATTCAGTGTAAACAGGCTCTGGTATAGGGCCAGCAGTCTCCAAGCCTTTTTTAATTTGCCTCTCGACAAATTCCATGGTTTTTTCTTCATCGTTTTTTTCCATTTTTTCTTTTTTGCGCTTTTTTTCCTCTCTTTGAACAGTTTCGGGGCTCCTGTCTATGTACGTTATAAACCAACCTTGTTCAGTTTCATCGATTACAGCCTGTCCGGTACCACCGAGCCACTTGACGAACCCACCAAGAGTCACCCAACGAGTACTGTTCATGTGAATGTGGTCCTTGTCTCTGATATACTCTTGATAGACTTTATTAGCGTTGACTCGTTTGGAACCAAACTGTCTCTTTAAAATCTGCACGTAGCCTTTGGCGAAATCGAACGAGAAGTCGTTGATGTACCTTTTCGAGTTTTCGGCGAAGAGCAGCAGTTGCCTTTGATGAGATTCGCTGGTCGTGTGGCACTTGAAGCCGTTTTCGTCTCTGCACTGTTTCTGACACATTTGGCAGTACCATCGCAATTTTTGCAGCCCCTTGGCTTTCATTTTGTTCGCTAGGTACTTTGGCGTACCTTTTTCCGCTCGCGGCATTTTTATTTTTGTTTAATTGAACAGGAAAATGGAAAAATATGAACAAAGAATTGAAAATTGGAATACTTTTGTTGTTGTTATGATTGAATGACGTTTTCTAATAAATTGTGAGGTTAGGGTTAGAATCCTACAGCGCTGTCAAATGGTTTGATCACAAGTAGAGATGGCAACAATAAATATCGATTGTTATAGAAAATGGCTTATCGATACGATATATTTGTTTTTCAATTATTGTAATTCAGAAAATCATAGTTTAATTTCAGAGAAGGTAACATGTATTTCAGAATAGGAACTTGTAATTCAGAAAAAAAATTGAATTTAAAAATCGTAAATTCAATTTCAGAACAGGGAAAATGAAATTCAGATTTGGGAGCTCAATTATTGTAATTCAGAATGGTAAATTGAAATTCAAAAATTGTTAATTATAATAATTAAGAAAAAGGAAATGGTATTTCAGAAGATGTAAATTTGGCTCGGGCCAAGAACATTAACCTTATAGGACTGCTTATTGAGCTGAAAGTTACTGCCATTTCAGCCCCAAACCTCATTACCTCAACTCTTAGCGTAAAATGCATTATTACGAGAAACGAATTCCTAAGGTCCGGTTTCTCAATAGCAAGTCACCCCCGGGTTGGTTTTAACCCCAGGTTAAGCATGTCCAGTTGTTATGTTTACTCTGGAGTTATCCTCAACCCGGGGGTTGACTTTTTATTGAGAAACCAGCCCCTATATGTTATAATCTTGTTAAATTCACCTTTTATTCATTTAAAATCGAGGAAAAAACAAGCACAACCTGAATCACAAGCATCCCACCGAGGTCTGCGGGTGACGTCACCACTATAAGCTGTTATGCTGCTAATAGTGGTGACGTCACTCGCATGCCCTGCCGACTCGAGAATTGACGAACTTGAGGATGAATGAGCAATCCTGTTGTAGAGTCCGCGTCAGCAGTAAAGACTACGGTGACGAAATAAAAAGCTGCGCGAAGCGGGTCGGATCTCTCTCCCTCGTCTATCTTTAGCTGTCTGCCGTGACCTCGGCCGTGAGCTGAAAGCAGCAGCGGGGTATCTTTTTAGACAAAACTTGGATACAAAATAAACTAAATAAATATGCCTGCTGGCCGTACGACAATGAACCACGTGCTTGGCGTTCGGCAGCAGCACCGATCGATACGATACTTCGGTTAGTCTTCAAAATTGGGTTTGTGCGCAATTGACGTCACCGTACTCTTTTCTCTTGACGCGGACTCTAGGTAGTTCATTCATAAAGTCTATAGACTTTTTCGAGTGCGTGATCTGAGATTTTGGACGCTGATTGGCTAGATTTTGGGGCCTCACTAGGGCCTTGGGTTAATCGTTTAAATTGAGCACTGGTCGCCCAAGTCAACCCCCTAATTATGGTCAATCAGCGTCCAAAATCTCAGATCACGCACTCGAAAAAGTCTATAGGCTTTATGAACAGACTTTAGTTTACGATTTTTGGATTCGGGCCAAGATTCCTGAAGTTCATAGGTTGCCTGGTAATGGGTAGCTTGATTACGCATCTGGGGTGCCTAATGGAGATTTGCATACTGTATTCCTTTTAGCCGTTGAGTTACTCGGAGCTGCTCAATGTCAAAAGCTTGAACGTTCCTTTTGAAAGTGCGACAAGTGCGTTAAGCACTCGAGTCGCTCATAGTGCCATACCCCTTTACCCTGATGTACCAAATTTGCGAGGGGTGCAAGAAGCTCTTTTAGGTAATGACGGTAATGTTAATATCAAAAAATAATGGTAAAATCTGAATTGTGTGTTTTTGAGTGTCTCCGAGGAGCTCATTCGGTGTAACTCGATGTATAAAAGGAATACAGTAATTATGTTAAGGCACTCCAGATCACGTCATAAAGTTATCAGGCAACCTACCTCTCTGAAACAACCTTGGGTTCGGGCGACTGTACTTGTACAGAGTACAGGGGTCGTATTTTCGAATATTCTCGTATACGAAATTTCATACGATTTCAAATGCTCCCCATTTAATTTACATTGCTGTCACTCAAATTTCGTGTACGAAATGTACTCGAATGAATTCGAAAATACGACCCCAGGGTCTTTATTCTTGAAACAGGGGAGCAGCGCTCACAGGAGAACGAGTGTTCATTCTTTCTCAATGATATGCAAATGGTAATATAAGGAACAAAGACGGAACACTCGTTCTCCTGGGAACGCTGCTCCCATGTTTCAAGAATAGGGACCCAGGTAGACTGAGAGATAAACCACCTTAAATGAAAAATATGTAAAGTTTGTTTCACGAGATTTGTACTTTTGACATCGGACTTGGAAAAAGAGGTTTGTCGTAAATTAATTCATATATTTTTATTTACGCGTCTTATGACACAAACTTTGATCCAACCGACATGAGAACCGTTCTAGAACCAGTAATTTCCAGTTGCCCACCCATTTTTCAATAAGTTGAACGTTTATCCTACTTGACAAATAAATTGATCGACTGGAAATTACCATACTAGAACGGTTATTATGTCGGTTGGAACAGAGCTATAAGCTCTGTTTCTGCAGAAATCAAAAACCAGTCAGAGTGAATTTCATTGGTTGAAACTAGTTTTCTGACCGTTTCTGACTGTTTTCAACCAATCAAATTCGCTCTGACTGGTTTGTGATTTCTGCAGAAACAGACCTATAATCAATTTTTTTGAATGACTTCTGGTTTTAGGGATCTTTTTTATTTGTTAAAAAAGGAAGGCAAATGATGTTAAAAGTACAAACCCTCGTGAAACAAAGAGTACGCCAAAATTCCACTTTTAATGGAATCCCACGAAATCCTACTGAAAATAAATACAATTTTTGAATTATGAGTAGAAAGTACATTTCATGAGTAAAATGAGTTCTACACCTCTGCGACAAGCAGAGCGAGTTCCGCAGAAATTAACTCATTAATGAGTCGTTCTGATATAAAAATGAGGAGTTTTTGAATTCATGAGTTAATGCATGCAAAAATGATTAAAGTCAGCAAAAATCCCTTGTGCAAAATACTTCTAATGATTACAGTAACTCGAGACTTTCAGGATTTATGAATTGAAGTTTCTTCTTCGCGGAAAAATTAATTTGAAGTTGATTTATTAAAGCTCCAAACTAAATTTAGAAGCTTTTTCTCACGTTAATGCATACAAAAATGATTAAAATATTTGCAAAAATCACTTGTAGAAAATACTCCTAATGATCACAGTGAGTTGAAACTCGCAGGAATAATACATTGGAGTCTTTTTCATATGGAAAAGTTAATTTCAAGCTCATTTGAAGCTCCAAATCAAAGTTGCATGAAAAAACTGTAAAAATGTGCTGACCTGAGTTTTTGAATTATTGAGTGAAAATTCTGAATCAAAAATTAATGATTTATTAAACTAATCAGTAAATTTCATGAGTAAATTGCTGATGCTCGTGAGTAATTCACTTATTGATAAGAAAAATTCTGATTTGAAAATAAACTAAATTTTGAACTAATAAGTAAAAATATGTTTCATGGGCAATCTAAGTTCTATTCATTTTTGAACCTCTCGTCGTTCTGATATAAAAATGGGGAGTTTCTAAGCTAAAAAAACTGGAATCTCACATGCTTGTACACTAAAATTCCAAGCTGGTTTACCCCTCGAGGTAGACATTACCAAGGGGTAAACCACCAATCTATTCAAGTGTATATGTGCACACCTCATAT